ACAAGTACAAGGAAATTAAGACACTCTTCAAGTTCTGAAGCCACTGGACTTCTCATACACATTGGAATGACCCCTTCTGTAAATATATTGGTAAAAGTTAAACCACATGCTTATCATATGACCCAGCAATCCCACTCTTATGTATTTATCCAAGAGAAGTTAAGACATTTGCCTATGTAATGACTTGTCCACAAATGTTCATGGTAGCTTTATTCATAGTAACCCTAATGTGGAAAGAAGTAAAATGCCCAACTGTTGTATGGATGAACAAATTGTGATGTCCACCTAATAGGACACTACACACAGTAAAAAGGAATTAATTAGTAATACATTCACCACTATAAAAGAATCTCAAGAGATTTATGCTAAATGAATCCAGAAACAGTAGAGTATGTATGATTGTGGTAATTTGATATTCAGAAAGCTCTAGTGCTAAAAAGCAGATGAATAGTTGCTACTAGCAGAGGAGGAGAAAGTGACTCCAAAGAGTCATGAAAACATTTTGTGGGGTATTAGAAATGTTCTACATCATGATTGTGCTTTCAGTTATATTGGTAGACACTATTGTGAAAACTCATTAATTATACACTTTAATTTGTTTTATTTTATGTAAATTATGCCTCAAAATAAGGGTAGCTCAAGAAATGAAAGAAAAGAACAAAAAAATTAACACTTTGGAATCAAGGGCTTGGGGGTGTAGAGAACATTGTTTTGTTTTGTTTTAATTTTATTTTATTATGTTAATGAATCGAGAACACTGTTTTAAGTGAGAGTTTTTTAGGAGTAAATAAAAATGGCCTAAACAACTCAAAGATCTAAAACAATATTCACATCAACGTCCATGGGAAATAGGATAGATGTTATTTATTTATTTTTATTTAACAAATACACATGAGGGGCGCCTAGGTGGCTCAGTCATTAAGTGTCTGCCTTTGGCCCAGGTCATGATCCTAGGGTCCGGGGATTGAGCCCCGTATCAGGATTCCTGCTCTGAGGGAAGCATGCTTCTCCCTCTCCCACTCCCCCTGCTTGTGTTCCCCCTCTTCTCTGTGTCTCTCGCTGTCAAAAAAATAAATAAAATCTTAAAAAAAAAAAAGAATACATCTGAGACACTTACAATATACTATATCTTTAAAAAAGATAAAAACAGATGAAATAGTGGTTAATAAGATCTAATTATTTGAGAATATTGGTAAACTGTGAAAAGATAACAAAGGCTAGCCAGTGAAAAGGCTAACAAAAAATAAAATGGAGTAAACAAATAACCCACATTAAGAGTATACCCAAGATGACATGGGGATTAAAAATGAGGGAATGCAGTATACAACACTAATAAAATTTAAAATCTTAATAAAGTAGGTCATTATCTATAAAACAAATCATCAGAATTTAACTGTAAGTATCTGAAAGGACTTGTTTTCTGCTTTATCTCTCACTATTCCCACATTTTAATCTTTTGCTCCAGCAGAATGGATCTGTACACTATTCCCTCAGCATAAGTAGTGTTTTCCCATGTGTTCAGTATTGTTTGCTCACTTTTCTCTGCTGTTAATGCCATTTCCTCATTTTTGTGTGCATTCAGATGCTCCCTAGCTTTCAAGCAAGTACACATTCCATTTCCTTCAGGAAACTTACCTTTAGCATCCTAGCTGGAAATGAGCACTTGAAGCAATATTCATCTCTCACTTTGCTTCGTAGACTTGGGTGTTTTTTCATAGTGTTGTATCTTCCTCTTCCTTATGGAGAATAAATTCCTTGAATATTCCTACTATGTTTTTACCTCATCCTTGCTATGTATGTATCTCCTAGTTTATACAGAGTAGGAACTCTGGAAATAAATATTTGATTGCTGAAAATTTGATCAAGACAATATTCAAATTAGGAAAAAGTGATTAACCACCATTTCAGGTAAAGTTAGAATTTTTTGGATAATTTTTTAGTTATATGTGCATGAATGACAGAATGGATTTGATCCTTCCCACTTTAAGCCTTAGATAAATGTATTTTTTTATAAAATAGGCCTCTTTTTTTTTTTTTAAAGATTTTATTTATTTGAGAGAGAGAGGCACAGCAAGGGAGGGAATACAAGCAGAGGGAGTGAGAGAGGGAGAAGCAGGCTTCATGCGGAGTGGGGAGCCTGGTGCAGGGCTCGATCCCAGGACCCTGGGATCATGACCAGAGCTGAAGGCAGATGCTTAACGGCTGAGCCACCCAGGCGCCCATATAATAGGCCTCTTCTTAAGCCTTACTTTGTTCTTTGTAAAATGGGGATCATACCATATCGAGTTTTTAGGATCGTGTATGAGACAATGGATGTTTAGCTCCTGGAAAAATACTTGGAATATATTAAACCTTCCATAACTGATGCTCTTTCTCCCTTTCATACAAGTTCTCAATTTTTTTTATTAACATGTATTATTTGTTTCAGGGCTACAGGTCTGTGATTTATCAGTCTTACACAATTCACAGGGCTCACCATAGCGCATACCCTCCCCAGTGTCCATCACCCAGCCACCCTATCCCTCCCACCCCCCTCCACTCCAGCAACCCTGTTTGTTTCCTGAGATTAAGAGTCTCTTATTGTTTGTCTCCGTCTCTGGTTTCGTCTTGTTTCATTTTTCCCTCCCTTCTCCTATGATCCTCTGTCTTGTTTCTCAAATTCCTCATATCAGTGAGATCATATGATAATTGCTTTCTCTGATTGACTTATTTCGCTTAGCATAATACCCTCTAGTTCCGTCCACGTTATTGCAAATGGCAAGATTTTTTTTTTGATGGCTGCATAATATTCCATTATATATATATACCACATCTTCTTTATCCATTCATCTGTCGATGGACATCTGGGCTCTTTCCAAAGTTTGGCTATAGCCGATATTACTGCTATAAACATTGGGGTGTAGGTGCCCCTTCGGATCACTACATTTGTATATTTGGGGTAAATACCCAATAGTGCAATTGCTGGGTCCTAGGGTAGGCATGAATTCTATGTGCTGTGTTCCCCTAGTGCTGGAGTTCTGCCATTCTCATTGATTGGTAAACTTGGTCTTGGCTGGCTGTTCTTGCTGATCTTCTGGGGGAGGGGCCTGTTGCTGGTTCTCAAATGTCTTTGAGGGAGGTGGAATTGCACTGCCCTTGCCGGGCTGGGCTGTCTCTGCTCGGGTTTGCTTTCGGGAGCTTTTGTTCCCTGCAAGCTTTCTGTACAGCTTTGGAGGATGAGAAAGAAAATGGCGGCCTCCCAATCTGTGGCCCCGGAGGAACCGAGAACTCGGGGCTCCACTCTTCAGTGTGCCCCCAGAGAAAAGCAGTCAGTCCCTCCTGTCTCCCTGGTCTCCAGCCGCACTCAGTGCTCACCTGGCCTGTGACCAAGCGTTTTTATCTCTGGCACACGACCCCGTGTGGAGTTTCCAAACCCAGCAGAGTCCTGTGGTGCACTCCCGAGCTGCTCCTCCTTGGGGAGGAAGGGGAGTCTCCCCGGATCTGCTGCTTGTTGGGTCCCTGCTGGAGGAGCAGTGGCCCGACTGTGCCGTGGATCCCAGTTTATGGCAACCCCGAGTTAAGAGCCCGCTCCTCCGCTCTGTCTCTGCAGCCGGCTTCCCCGCTCCCATACCTGAGAGCTCTCCCGCACTCCGACACCCCTGGTCTTCCTTTGACCCCGAGGGTCCTGAGACTACACTTAGCCACTGGAGTGACGTCCCTCAGCGGAAGAGACTTCTAAAAATTCCGATTTTGTGCTCTGCTGCTCTATCACTTGCCAGTAGTGGCTGACGGAGGCCCCCTCCCCCGTCGTCTGTCTTCCCGAATATTGCCTCGGATTCACTTCTCCGCACGTCCTACCTTCCAGAAAGTGGTCGCGTTTCTGTTCAGAGAGTTGCTGCTATTCTTTTCTTCGATCTCCTGTTGAGTTCGCAGGTGTTCAGAATGGTTTGATTCCTATCTAGCTGAATTCCTGGGACCAGACGAAATTTAGGTCTCCTATTCTTCCACCATCTTAATTAAGGACCAAGTTCCAATTATTTGCCACTGTAAGTGGTTATTCCCCATTTTCATATGCCTTAATATTTTGTCTGATAGCAATGAGCATGTGTAGGTCACAACAATATATAATTTAATGTTTAACTCTAATTTAGTTTTTCTTTTGCTCCCATGTTTAACTTGTGCTAGTTTGCTTTTTCCTTATTAGAGCTGTTGTAATTTATTTCTTTCATGATTTTTTATGAAGTATTCCTTATTTTTTCATTGCAGTCTGGATTGGTATACACACTGTGACTAATTCTTTCATAGATCACTAGACTAATTCTTTGAGACTAGGACCCTTTGGGTGAGCAGATAAAATTTAAATTAGTATTTTCCTCTTTTTCTTTCAAAAAGACAAATTTACAAATTAAGTCAATATTAATGGATTGCTATAGTTGCACCTATGTTAAATCGATTAACTATTGATGGCTATCCCTATTGGTTCAAGCAAGCTAGAGCCTAGTTAGACAGTGGCAGAGAAATGTTATCTCAGATTTTTCTAGACTTTCAGTATTTAGCAAATATAAATAACAAAAACAAAAGAAGACAAATCTTTGAGTGTCTAGTCATTTCCACTGCCTTTTAAATTATTTCTAATGGTAAATAACTATTCATGTATTCAATTTTGTATTATATACCTTTTAGGGCATATAGATGTTTAGCCATTTCAACTATCTTATAGAAAATATGATTTCACATTTAATTATCACGATTTTAACATTTCTGAAAAATAAGCCTCATTCTATACCAGGTCTGTAAACTGAGAAATGTTTATATGAAGCTCCTCTTTATCTTATGAGGAAATATTTATTTTTTAATCTTTTTTGATAGCATTTTTAGTATTTTAAAGAAATATTCTCAGAAATCAAAGTGTTACACTAATGTTTCTAATACTGGGACAGGAAAAACATAATCAGGGTTTTAGTTTGTTATAAAAATTGGCAGCACAATAACTAACAGTGATAAAACTTTTTTCTCTTCAGGGCCAAGGAATATGAGAGTTTAATAGAAACAAAAAATTCTGGATCTGACTCACCTTATAAAGCAAAGTGAGTATTTTACTCTGCATTTTATTTCTCTATCTTACTGATGTCTGCCTATATAAAAGTTTATCTGAACTTCTATTTCTGTGACCCTAAGCTTCATACCTGAAGCCTAGAATTTCATTCTTCTAACACAGTGTTTTCCAGCAGGGGACAATTTTGCTGTGCTTGAGGATATTTGATCACATTTTGATTATCACAGCAGGGAGAAATGGTGCTATTCCCATCAAGTGCATAGGGACCCAGGGATGCTCTTAAACACTCTTCAGTGGGCAAGACTGAAGCAAAGAATTATCTCATCCAAAACGTCAGTAGTGCCCAGGTAGAAAAATCCTGCTCTGACAGAATAGGTTCTGGCAGCCCTGTGCTGGTTCTTGCTCTGAGGAAGTCTTGCTCAGGATTATGGCCAGGGCCACTTGATAGATGAGGAGTTAGACTCCACCACTGGCTGTTAGTTTAACTACACAATAGTTAAACACAACCACCATCATTTTGCTTCTCTCAAAGATATTACTGGTAGAGGTACAGTGAGGAAGGTACTCAAAAACACTGCCGATGGGAGTGCAGGTTAGTGTAGTCTTATTGAAAGGCAATGTGAATCCAGAGCTTAGAACATCTACTTTAGGCTGATGAGGGAAATAATGCAAAATATGCCCGAATATTTATATACAAAGATGACTATTTTAATATTATTTTTCATAGTGAAAAAGTCAAGAAAGAACTTAACTGCCACAAATTGAGGAATATCTATAACCAGTGGTTGGTGTAGATATGCTATAGCATTTTAATGCAGCAATTATTTACATTTAAAAAGATATTGTTGCCTGTCAGAAATGAGATAACCGATCAGAAAATTACTTTTATTAATTGTTGTTTTGAATCTATTAGTCATTGCCATTCTAAAAGAAAAAAATTTGTAAAATATTAAAGAAGTTAACAAAATTATCAAGATTATGATGATACTGTATGTCTGGAAAACCCAAGAGAATCAAGTGAAGAACTAGTAGAAATTAGAGAATCAATTCAGTAAGGTGGCTGATCAAATTAATGTGATAATATTAATAATAGGTAATGTTTACTGAACCTTTGCCTCATTCAAGGGTCTTTACATGTGTTGACTCCTTTATTCCTAACAATAATTCAATGAATTTCATTAGGGAAGCTAAGCCTTACAGAGGGTGAGTAACTTACCTTACGTTTATGCAACATCCAGGCTACAAAATTAATACTTTCTTTTCTTATAATCAGTTAGAAAACATAAATATCATTATAGTAGCAATAAAAAATAAACTAAAAATAAACTTAACAAGAAATATGAAGGCTCCATAAAAATTAAAAACCTTAAAATGCTAACAAAGGGTATTAAAGAAGACTTACATAATGGAAAGACAAATTATACTCTTGGATAGAAAACATGGTATAGTAAATTCTCTAAATTCTCCTACAAATGAAATGTAATCTGAATAAAACAACTACCTTTTAAAAAATAGAATAATTTTAAAGAATGTATGGAAAAATGAGAATTTCTGGAAAAAAATTTAAAAGAAGAATGAGGTAGGACTGTGCTAACAGATATTTAATAATATCTTAATGATACCTATGTAGTTAAAATAGTTTTGCATTGGCACATGAATAAAAATGTAAATCGATAGAAGAGATTTTTAAAAACAATCTAGAAACAGATTCAAATATTTGAGGAAATTTAATATATGATGGTGGGATAGTGTTTACAAAGATAACCAGAAGAAGTTGAGCCATTCCTGGAGGCATGGCCCTGTGCGTTATAATATAACTTTGCCACTATTCCATCGAGAGGTGGACTCTCTTTCTTTTCCTCTTGAATTTGTTCTGGCCTTTTGACTTGTTTTGACTACTGTGGAAGTAATAGGTGATAACCAAGACTTGGCCATAGAAGTCTTGAGGCTTCTGCTTTCAACCTCACTTTCTTGCTCTGCTGTGATTGCCCTGTAAGGAAGACTGGGTCAGTCCTCTTGAGGATGAAAGATCACTTGGTCATGGTGATAATCCTTTTAATATGATGCTGAGTTCATTTTGCTTGTTCTGTTGCGGATTTTTGAATTAATATGGGTTATCAAATCTTATTAAGCCTCTGCTGTGTTACATTTGCTTATGTCGCATTGGCCAAAGCAAGTCATTTCACCAAGTCCAGAGTCACTGTAGGAGACTATACAAGTCATGGATAGCAAGACATAATTCAAGCCGGGGGCGGGGGGGCGGGCTTTTTTTTTTTTTTAAGATTTTATTTTTTTTTGTAAAGTTTTTTTTTATTTATTCATTCGAGACACACAGAGAGAGAGAGAGCATGAGCAGGGGGAGAAGCAGAGGAGAGGGAGAAGCAGGCTCCCCGCCGAGCAGGGAGCCCAATGTCGGGCTCCATCCCAGGACCCTGGGATCATGACCTGAACCAAAGGCAGACGCTTAACCATCTGAGCCACCCAGGCGCTCCAAGATTTTATTTATTTAACAGAGAGAGAGACAGCCAGAGAGGGAACACAAGCAGGGGGAGTGGGAGAGGGAGAAGCAGGCTTCCCACAGAGCAGAGAGCCTGATGCAGAACTCGATCCCAGGACCCTGGGATCATGACCTGAGCCGAAGGCAGACATCTAATGACTGAGCCACCCAGGCACCCCTAAGTGGGGAGCCTTTAATGTAACAACCTATTATAGAACTTTCTCTGTATTCTCTTCTTACTTGACTGGCTGCTCTTTTCAGTATCTTTTCCTTGGTTCTTTCTTGTCTCCTTGACCTCCAACATTAGCATGCCTTTGTCCTGAGAATTCAAATGCAGATTTATTCCTCAGTTTTATGACTTTAAACATTTAGTCACTGATGGATTTTAAATATATGACTCCAACCCAGCCCTCTCCTCAGAACTCCAGGCTCATATATCCATCTTCCTGCTTAGTATTTCCACGTGGATATCTGTTCAGTTGGACCCCTCAGGTGAGCATGTGCAAAATTAAACTCCTGAAATTTACTCCCAAACCTTACCCCTCATATTTTTTGCTCATCTTTAGGAAATAGTAAGTCCATCCTTTGAGATTAAAATCTTTAAAGTTATTCTCGCTTTCTTTTCACTTTACTTTTGGTCCATCAACAAATTCTGTTGGCTCTATCTTTAAAATATATTCAGAATCTGACCACTATTCATTACCTCCATAGTAACTACTCTAGTCTAACCTATTATCATCTCTCATCTAGATTATTGTAGTAGCCTCCTAATTAGTCTTACACTGCTTCTGCTTTTCCTTACTACAGTCTGTTGGCCACTGGGTAACCAGGATGTTCCTTTAAATTATAAACCTAGAAAAAATCACAGTAGCAATAGAAGCATAATTTTTCAGTCTCTCCAAATCCTCAGTAGAAACCAGATAAATAGTTAAAACCAAAAACCCATGGCAGCATTTACCAAAAAACCAGATAGCTCCAAGAAATCCAAAAAGCAAGTAAATCCAAACAGCCACAAGACCTGCATGGTATTGACATTAGTGTGAAAGAAAGCAAGAAGAAACAACTGGGGTAACAGTTGTAAAGAAAGGACAAGAACCCTCAAATAACTAATGTTTTCACTGCAAAGTATAGGGAACCAATTTGACAAAAGCACCTGAACCTCATTTTCAAGTAGGTTCCTCTGGAAGGGCTCATGTGAACAGTGTTGCCTTGCTCTTGCATGTTGACAATTTTTTGCCTTCAAAAATCAATTTTGCTGGGGCACCTGGGTGGCTCAGTCAGTTAAGCATCTGCCTTCAGCTCAGGTCATGATCCCAGGGTCCTGGGATGGAGCCCCTGCATCGGGCTCCCTGCTCAGCAGAGAGCCTGCTTCTCCCTCTCCCTCTGTGCGCTCCCTTGTGCGCGCTCCTGCTCTTGCTGTCTCTCAAAAATGAATAAATAAAATCTTTAAAAAAATCAGTTTTGCTAGTTGCAAAATCCTTGGCCCACATTTTTTTTCTCGAGGATCTTAAATCTTAAAAAGCACTTTAGACAATCAAAATTATTAAAAAGGCATCAACTTAAGGACTAGTCATGAACAGAAAAGTTATAGTTTCTTGTAGAACTAGGACTAACTGATGCCCAAAAGAAAAAGAATACTACATAATAACTATCTCATAATTTTATAATATAACTAAGAAAAATATCAGTGAATATGAGGAAAACATATGCTAATAAATTAAACATTCTCTATATTGGTAATGATATTAGTAATGTTATTCTGAGTCTTGTGCATATAAAATGGGATAAAAGTAAAGGATATTATGGAAATTAAAATTCTTTTTTTATTTTATTTTATTATGTTATGTTAGTCACCATACATTACATCATTAGTTTTTGATATAGTGTTCCATGATTCATTGTTTGCATATAACACCCAGTGCTCCATGCAGTACGTTCCCTCTTTAATACCCATCACCAGGCTAACCCATCCTCCCACCCCGCTCCCCTCTAGAACCCTCAGTTTGTTTCTCAGAGTCCATAGTGTTTCATGGTTCATCTCCCCCTTCAATTTCCCCCGCTTCATTTTTTCCTTCCTGCTATCTTCTTTTTTTTTTTAAACATATAATGTATTATTTGTTTCAGAGGTACAGATCTGTGATTCAACAGTCTTACACAATTCACAGCACTCACCATAGCACATACCCTCCCCAATGTCTATCACCCAGCCACCCCATGCCTCCCACCCCCACCACTCCAGCAACCCTCAGTTTGTTTCCTGAGATTAAGAATTCCTCATATCAGTGAGATCATATGATACATGTCTTTCTCTGATTGACTTATTTCGCTTAGCATAATACCCTCTAGTTCCATCCACATCGCTGCAAATGGCAAGATTTCAAGGAAACTAAAATTCTTTTATCCCATGTTCCTGAGAAGCTGAATCCTCAGTTTGTAAGAAAGGAGATGGATGTGATACAGAGCAGATCAGGTAACACCCCTGCAGGACTGAATTTGAATTATATGAATTTATGAGGTGTTTTATCTTTCAGAAA